CTCTCTCTCTCTCTCTCTCTCTCTCTCTCTCTCTCTCTCTCTCTCTCTCTCTCTCCACATTCTGTGCGCATGACGCTGTGTGCCCATCGCTGTGTGCGCTTCTCTTCGTTCAGCATCTGTAATCCGATGGAACAGGCGTACGAGACGACGAGGATGGGACGAAGCAGGGAAGTCCGACAGGAGATGAGGAGGAGGGAACGGAGGAGGAGAGTCCCATTGGACGAGGAGGAGTGGGAAGGCCATGCTCGACCAGTGGGGTTGCATAACGGAAAAAGGCTACGATGAACAAGGAGGACAAACAGATCCCCATGATGCAGAAGGAAGAGGAAGACGACGAAAACACGACGATGGATGAGGAGGAGAGTGAAGGAGAATGGAATAAGAAGGCGACAACGAACACGAGATGGATGCTTCGGTCCAGAAGGAAAGGGACACGTGGAGGGAACGACAACAATGGAACGGAGGAGGACAGTCGGATGGACAAAGAAGAGGAGGAATATCAATGGAGGAGAGAGAGGAGATTATCGAGGAGCAGACACATGACACCAAGAGGAGGCGGCGACTACGATGGGGAAGAAAGACGAAGCCACGACGTGGGACAAGGAGCTTGAGGAGCATGCAATAGAAAACAAAAAAGAGGGATATGAACGAGAAGGAAGCCAACAAAAGGGCCACACATGCCTCTTCCGGATTGCAGGGTTTTTTTTTGGCGGTGGGAGGGGGAGGGGGGGAAAGGGGGGGGGGAAAGGGAACGGGAAATCCAAATATTGCAAAATTTTGCTGTACCCATGGGCGGAAAGAAATCGTGGACGATTGATTCTGCCCTCTTAATTGCTGTTTTTTTTTTTTTTTTTTTTTTTTTTTGAAGTAAGCTAAATTGTTCTCTCGATTTCACCTCACACTACCTGCCTGCCAGTACTCTGCTGCGGGAATGAGAAGAGAGCAGAGTCGATCCAGGGCGAGACGAGATCCCACTGGCAAAGAGGATCCAATTATTTTAACCCCTGAATCTGGATGCGTTTGTGGAGAGGTGCAGAAAACAGCACATCCGAATATTGGCATTCAATCTGTGCACTCGTTCGGAGATGGCATTGGCGCGGCGGGGGATCCACTTGTTATAACTAAGAACAGATGTACCCTTCTTCCCCCGAATACAACGTACGGTCATTATATTATATATTGTCACATTGTGAATCAGAGCGCAGAAGCGAAAAAAAGGGGAAAGAAAAAAGGAAAAGGAAAAAAGGGGAAGGGGAAGAGG